CATAATACATTACTAAATGAATATGGGTTTACTATTAGTTTTATTTTTTTCATCAGTAAATTTCATGGAGGTATGCTTCTAAGTGGATACGATTTCACTGTATAAATGCATTTTTCTGCGTATGTATTGAAATCATAACCACCTGTAGGGAGTAATATTAATCCTTGTATAGCACAATACTTTTAGTAGACAATAATATCTGCCACGGCTGCTTACAGTCTGATAAATAATTGACCTGGTGGCCGTAGGTGCCTTAAAACGATTAGGAAATTTTGATTATTGATGCCCTTGGAAAATGACCTGCTGCACTTAACTACTCAGACAGATCCCTGCCAAACCGCTAAATAATCGCCATAACACTATACTTTGACGTACCGAAAGTAACAGTGATGGTGTAAAGACTAAAAGTAATGTGGTTCTAGATTAGGATTTTCGAAAATCAAAAAGCAGGGTATGGCAATGTCCGTTATAAATTTTATGTAGATATGACAAATACATTTCTTATTTTAGCAGATGGTGCGAAAACTTATAGCTCTTGCCGGATCATAATCCCCTTACAAAGCCATGGTCAAGTACATATCTTACAAATTGAAGCCGTGCTTATTATGTAATAGCAGAAGCAACGTGCTTTCGACAACTGAAATACTCCTTGACTATTTACTTCTATTGCTTATGCTGCTGTCATTTCAAAGATTAGGGCTAAGAAGGTGTTATGGCAGGGCACCATATGTGACAGGTCATAATTAGCTGTGTGCAGCTCTATTCTGTTAGAGGTGTTGCAAAGTTAACTGATCTAAATAGATCCTGAATTTATAGATCACAATGATTTCGAATAAGGTTTGTGCTAAGGACGCTCTAAACGACAGCCGTGTATGCCAGTTTTAGAATATGGCAAGAGTCGGTTTACATTGAAAATGACTAGATATATGTAGAATTCCTGCCCTGTAATCGAGATTACCAGTATATCATTTACCAGTCCCTTTATCACCTTAAACGAAATAGGGCTAATACACTTTATTTCAAGGTCGGAATAAGCCAGCAAAGAAGTTGTAGGTGCATTACACTTCTCTGAGCTCCAAAAGAAAAAATATAACGGGGTTCAAACTTGTTAAAATACTCAATATGGCAAAATGTGGTTCTTAGTATAATCAAAGGTATGAAGGCCAAGATTGTGGGGCCTTTTGTGTGGCTCCAGTCTCTTTTATTTGTGTATAGCTTGTTTGACCGTGGTCATATTGGTAGGAAGACCTAGAGGAACGCACCTTGTCCAGAGTCCATAGTATGCATGATAATTTTCAGAGTCGCACTGTGGACCGACTTGCCGGCCTAGTAGTCGGCATTGTCAGTGGGTCTTACTATTCTCAGCACCAAGCTTCAACTCGTCAAAGAGACAAACGAATTCTATCCTTTTACCAATTGTCTGTCTGGAATTTATCATGCATACAACGGACAACGGACAGGGTGCGTTCCTCTAGGTCTTCCTGCCAATATGAAGAAGTTGAGAAAGCAGGGTCAAACAACTTGTAAAATTTGATTCCGTTCTCCACCATAACAATATATAAGCAAGGTATTTGCACAATTGATAAGATTTCAGTTAGGCCTTTCTTTTATTTATTATCATGCTAGCCCGGAGACTCACTTCCAAAACAACCTGTACCTAGATTGGGAGCACAGTATTCTGGCAGTTTTGATCTAAATACTTAAGCAAAATTGTATTTTAGTTAAATTTCACTTTACTTTTGCCAGGAGAATAATAATATCGATCTCATATGGATTTATTTTCCATCGAATGACAAAGCATTTTATAGAAGATGAGCTATCTACGTAAGATTAAATAGAGCCAAAAATATACCTCAGACCCTCAACATAAATTCGCCTGAGACTAGAAGTCTGAGAACTCTATTAATTTATAGAAGTTGGTTGGCCTCGTTGTCGCAACTTGGTCTTGTTGTCAGGGCGACTTAGTAGAACGCACCTAGTCCGAAGTCGCCTGCCATAATAGTTGTCATAATTCCCAGCATCAGACAGTGGAATTGAGGGGACCCAGATTGGAGGCTCGAGTTGGATTAACTGATCGAAAGAGAGGGGATCGAGGTGAATAAAAAGTGTGATGGGGCCATAGTATATTTGTTACAAAAGGGCACACATTTTGACGAGTGAGAAGTTCTGATAGGGCGGCAGTGGGATTAGAGGGTAAAGAGTATATAGATAGGCCAGGATAGAAAGAGTAGTGATAGTGTAACCATTTTCGGCAGAATATTTGTCGAGGAATTAACTTTACTTGTCTCTTTGACAAGTTTGTAGCTTGGTGCCGAGAATGGCAGAAATCACTGATGATGCCGACTACGATGCCGGCGAAGCGTTTGAAAAAGTACCAAGTCCACAGTCTGATGCTAGGAATCATGACAACTACTATCGCAATCGATTTCAGACTAGTTGCGTTCTAATAAGTCCCACTGACAGCAAGGCCAAGTTGCGACGAGGTCGACCAACTTCTATAAATCGAAAGGAGACTGCGACCATACCAGAGGCCGCAACATCTTGGTCTTCATATCTTCTATTAATTTAGTTTCTTCTCTTTAGAAATTGGAAACGCCAGGAAATTAGAAGTAGAAATGTTCAAATATCTTAAAGTGGTGATAAGTGAGGCAACTAAATGAACTAAATGAAATATGGAGGTTTACCGAGATGTGTTACATTCTAAAATAATAAAGATTTTCAATTTTTTAGATTAATCAACTAAATATATTATGCAAAGGTATGAAGACCAAAATTCTATGCCATTAGTATGGTCGCAGTCTCCTTTTGTTGTGTAGAAGCTGTTTGACCTTGTTTTCGCGACTTGATCATAGTGGTTGGACGAACTAGAAGAACGCACCTAGTACGGAGTTCATAGTATGTCTGATAATTTCCAGAGTTGGTCTGTGGACGTGGTACATTCCCAGACGTTTCGCTGGCATCATAATCAGCATCGCCAGTGGGCCTTGTTATTCTTAGCACCACACTACAACTCGTAAAAGAGACAAGTGAATCCAAAACTTTTTCTTTGACAAATTGTCTACTAAACAATTGTGGTATCTCACCTTCTACCCTGGGCTATTCACCAATCATATATCCTCGTACCACCCTTTCACTAGCACTATTTCTTATTTAAATGTGGTTTGGTCTGCTCTTTTGAGCGGATTTCATGAGAACTATCCACACCCCACGCTGGCTTTCTCACCCCCTCACCCTACTTCACCCTTGCGCTAGGAATGCTGATCAGAGTCTACTATATTAGCCTGCAATCCCCTCCAATATGTCTTATCAAAGGTCACCTAGGACGATATTTTATAATTTCTGTACAGATTTCCCCTGTGATAAACTGTTGTGGCAAGCCATGGTAGATTCAAAAACAAAAGAATACTTACAAACTGGCCAAGCTCAACGCTGACCTTCTCGCCGAAGCGACCAGAGATGACTACAGCAGCACGTGAAGTGCCAGCTTCCAGGATATCGGAACTGGGAAGAGTAAGCCTGTCGTCGTTAGCGAGATTCTCGTGCAGCATCAGGTGTAAGCCATCGGCCGAGGTTGCCAAATTACTGGCTTGGACAAAGCGGTTAGTGGCATTGGTGGATCCTTTAGAGCGGCGACTCGCATCGGTAAACTCTTCATCATCCCAATTCTTTGATAATTACACACATAAACGCACATACATACGCACACACCCATATATATATATACATATAAATTATAAATAAGCATATCAACATGAGTAACTATGGGTGGAGAAGGAAAAGTTTTATTTTGTTTAAGGCTAAGGTTGAATAAAATTAATATGTCGCCCACTCTTGCCTCCAATTTTATAATACAATATTAAATGTGCAGAGTAGACCTTGGCAAGGATCCGCATTCACAGAGAATTTCAACTTAATGTGAGCAATACTTTAGTTTACACTAAAAGTTATTATTTTAAGCATAAACTAGACTTTTTGATCAAAAAGCTCAAGGCAATGTTAACTTGGTAGTGAAGTTCCTCTTAACATATTTTTTAAGAGCCAAACAAATAATATGCATAAAGATCCCAAGTTAAAGTTACTTTGTTTCTGGTAAGATATTTTGTGAAGACATGATAGGACTGTATCGCAAATTCAAGCTTGAGGTGCTTTGCTATTTGCTTTATCCAAAGTTCATAAAACTATATCATTTTTACTATATACCTGACTTCATGCAAAAAGGTAGATACTAATTGAGGCCATAAAAGAAGGAACAAAATGGGGCTACCCCACCTGAAGAATGCTTGTTTTACTCTCATCATAGAGCAATAAAGGCTGCGTTTTGGCTCGATTGTAAGGC